CATTCCTGAGAAGGTTTCTGGGGCCTGGGTATCCCAGGGCAGAAGGCTCCCTGCAGCTCCCAGCCGCCCGTCCCTCCTGCCAGCAGGACTCTGAGGACGGGGGCATCTCACTGTGAAGGGAAGGGAACGCGCGTCACTGCAAACCCATCGGGAGAGACTTTGCAAACCGTGAAGGGTGGGGGGGAAGCAAGTGCTGGATGAGGTCTAACTGGCCCGTGCACAGCTGCACGGAGGGCAGTTGGGGTAGCCACGGCCTCGCCACCCAGACCGTGGGCATCAGCAAACTGCAGCTGCTGCAGTGGGCTGCCTTCGGGAGGGTGTCCTTCCTGCTGTGGAGGGCACAGGTTAGGAATGCCCTTCACGTGCAGAGTGGCATTGCAGGAGGGATGGGGGGGGGTTGGGGCTGGTTTCAGTCCATTTGTCTTTTACATGCACTGGATCCAGACTGGTACGCTCTGGGCTGGGATACACTAATAAGCTACAGACCACCCTGAGTGTGGGAGGAGGGTCTGACCTACCTTCCAAGGCTATTTTATTGTGTGTATCAGGGCTCTGGGGGCTCTGAAGCCACGGACGCTTAGGACCTTGCAAAGCAGGTGTTTTAATTTTTAAAAGCCTTCGTACAGCAGGACAGTTAGGTCTGGTGGAGAGAAGTCCCTGCCCCGCGAGCTGCAGGGCGCTTTGTAGACTCATCCGAAACAAGGCAGCTTTCTGGTTTTGCCTCTGTTGAGGCAGCCTGGGTGAAAAGGATGGGAAGAGCCCGTAAATCTCTCTTGGAAAGGTAGAGACGCTTCTCCTTAGAATCTCTTTGTGGTCCAAAATGAGTTATCGTCTGGCTATTTGTTTAGCAGAAAAAAAAATACAATTTGAATTAGCATTGAATAACCCTACCGGAGAAGGTAGGAGGTGGGTATTTGGACTTACGGAAGCTTTCATCTCTGAGATGGATGGTTTCACAGGGTTTTTAATTCCACCTTGGGTATTTCTATTTTTGTAAATGGCCGCTCTGATCCACCCCAAAAGCAAGATGACTAGTGAGATGCATAGATTTTCAGTCTGACCTTCCTCTCCGAAAGGGCACCGCAAATACAAGCTTCCGCTTCTTACCCTTGAACTTCTGTGATCCTCCGAAACATATTTAAGTAGGCGAAGTCAGCCAGTTGCCTATGGGGAAAAAACACCGTGGCTGCTCTGAGAAGGAAAAAAACAAACACAAACTGTCTCTTGAATTGTGGTTCAACTTTTGCCTCTGAGCCCGTGAACGAATACTGAGATGTGTTTACAAAATAAAATTTTGAAAAATCTCATTGATCGAGACACGAAATGTTAAATAAATGCATAGAGTTGCCTTATACATCCTGCTTTCTCCTCCGTTTGGAAAACCAGCTCTAAATCGTCTCCGGTGCAACTGAAACTCCAGCTTCCTTGGGATGGCTTTATTAGGAGTGGGTGCAGAGAACCGGCTAGGAAGGAGAAGTCTACTAATTAATTTTAACCAGTAGAAAGACAAGAAGTAGGGGGGAAACCTAGCACCAAACTGTGAGCAAGTTTTAGGCCCAGGGGAACACTGTCTCTTTCAAAATCCACAACTCCATGACATGGATGTTGAGAAACACCTCAGATGGGGGGAAAAAAATGCTTATTGCTTTAGTCAAGAAAAAATCTGTACTGTTCAGTTTTCTTGCAGTGCAAAACCAGCACGGAACGACTCCAAGCGGTTTCCCGTTCCTTCAGAGTTGGCTTCTCTTTTCTGGCTTCATCGTTACGAGCCTCATGGGGCGATATGTGGATTGTGTTTTTTAATTCGCAGAATTATTTCTGTTGAATTTTTTTTTAAAGACCGCATTTCTATTTGGTTTTGTCCCTTTAATTTAATAATTTTTTTCTACGAACTTTGCATTTGAAGCCGCAGCTGCTTGACTGTTGTGTGAGAAGTCCGTAGTTGTATGCTGGGGGAGGCTGTGCACCCCAGCAAGCTTTCAAGCTCAATAGAGGAGTGATGGGTTGCATCTCTTTGGCCTGTGTCTTGCCAAAAATCAGATGAACTGACCTAATGGTCCTTTCTGGCCTTTATGAAAAGGCTTAAAAAGTGTGGTGTTGAAGGAGAGCTGGAGCTCTGAGGATAGGGTTCCTCTTGGGGAGGTGCATGCATTGTGTAGGGACAGGAAGGATCTTGTGGAAGCCTAGGATTGCTGTGAAAGTAATGGTTAAAACTGAGCTGGCTTTCCTGTCAGCACGACGACATTGGGAGCCAAGTTGAGAGCATTCATCGCATGTTCGCAGTTACCGGTTTCCTTTTTGTTTTATTTTCAATTCATGTGCCGCTAGTGTGAAAAGCAAGACACAAAAACAGCCTCGTGAGGATGGATCCCTGGGTGCCACCCTGCAAATCCAGGGAAAAATCCACATAGAAGCAAAGCCACATCCTGTAGCTGCCGGTGTCCTAGAGTCCCAGATCTTCAAAGGGAGCATGGTGTCTTGCTGTCTATTGTGCAACTGGGTTGTGTTATCAGTTCTGACCCTGGAGCTGTGTTTGTGCACAGAGACTTCTCGGAGAAGTGAGCTGTTAAATAAGGACGAGCTGTAGCTAACTGCGCTCCTAAAATGTTGGCATCAGCATGGTGAAAGAAGTACGTGGGAGCTGGTTTGAGGAGGGTTGAGCTGAAACCGGTTCCCTTAAATCACGAATCTGCACCTTTTTGTTTCAAGTCTTGCTAAATTCTAGCTTTAAGAGTATCCCCCTCTCTGTGTTGAGGGAGACAGTTAGCCACATTAGTCTCTAAGGTACCACCGTGTCCTGCCTTCTGCCTCCAGCAGGTAGTAGACAAACTGGGGAAAGGGTGAGGAAAAGCCCATGGCTGCTGGGCACGGGAGGACAGATTGCTTTGAGGAATGGAGCTGACTTCCTCTTTGTTTCTGCGGGGGCTGTACCCTTCCGGCTGGCTGTGCAGCGTGGAAGCCACGTCCTGCTGTCCACGCTCAGCTGAGAGGTCGTGGTGTCAGGATCAACCCTTCCAATGCTTTCATGAGCCTTGGGAGGCCAAAGGAGACCCCGGCCGCTGCTGTTTCTAGCGGGGCAAAGTTTCATAGTTGGTCGGGTCGGAAGGGACCTGAGCAGATCATCTAGTCCGACCCTTTGCCATGGGCAGGAAAGGATGCTGGGGTCAAACGACCCCAGCCTGGTGATTGTCTAGCCTCCTTTTGAAGACCCCCAGGGTAGGAGCCAGCACCACTTCCCTTGGAAGTTGGTTCCAGATCCTAGCTGCCCTGACAGTGTAGTAGCGCCTCCTGATGTCTAGTCTGAATCTCCCCTCTGCCAGCTTGTGACCGGTATTTCTAGTCACTCCTGGCAGTGCTCGGGGGAACAGGGACTCTCCCATTCCCTGCTGGTCCCCCCTGGTCAGTTTATAGATGGCCACCAGATCCCCCCTCAGCCTTCTCTTGTGGAGGCTGAACAGGTTCAGGTCCCGTAGCCTCTCCTCGTAGGGCCTGCCCCGCTACACCTTGACCATGCGGGTGGCCTCCTCTGGACCCTCTCCATGCTGCCCACATCCCTCCTGAAGTGCGGTGCCCAGAGCTGGACGCAGTACTCCAGCTGCGGCCTGACCAGTGTTGCATAGAGGGGGAGGATCACCTCCTTGGCCCTGCTCGAGATGCATCTGTGGATGCACGACAAGGTGCGGTTGGCCTTCCTGACCGCGTCCCTACACTGTCAGCCCATGTTCATTTTGGCATCAATAATGACTCCGAGATCCTTTTCTGCCTCTGCACTGATGAGAAGGGAGTTCCCCAGCTTGTAGGTGTGCTGCTGGTTCTTCCTCCCCAGGTGCAGCACCTTGCACTTGTCAGTGTTGAACCCATCCTGTTCTCATCCACCCACCCCTGGAACCTGTCTAGATCTAGTTGCAGCCTGTCCCTCTCCTCCAGCGTGCCCACATCCCCCCGCATCTTGGTGTCATCTGCAAATTTGAACAAGGTGCTTTTCACCCCCTCGTCCAAGTCGCTGATGAAGATGTTGAACGGCGCGGGTGCGAGGACCGAGCGCTGGGGGGACCCCGCTGCCCACATCCCTCCAGGTCGAAAATGTTTCGGAGTGCATTGTAGGGCGGGGTAGGTAGACACCCGAGGCTGCAGCAGGCAGGAGAACCACAACCTGCTAGAAGCAGAAAGCAAAGTTGCAGGCAAGGGAGCCAGTGCCTGATGCAAAGAAGGGGAAGTGGTGGTGGAAGGAATTAGCACGCCGGAGGGGGCCCGTGTGCTATGCACAAGCCAGAGCATAGAAGGCGGGGGTTGTTTTAGAGCTGCTGAGCAGTTTGGAGGAGACCCCCAAGGGGAGACTGTCAGATCTTTGAGGCAGGGACGGTCTCAACGTTGGATGTGACCCGATGAAGCCGATTGCGAGGAGATGCAGGCTATGCGATGCCATTGGGGACCTGGGCATGCTGGCGGGGTGAGGATGTAGAAAGATTTTTGGGCCCCATTTCCGTATGCATATGGGTGGACCGTTGTCATCTCTCATGTAGTTCATCTCCTGCCACCTACCTTCTTTCTTAAAAATTCCTGTTCAAGTGAGGTTCCTCGTCAAGTGCTTTTCTGCAGTTTACTGGGTGCCTTGAAATCTTTGGGCACGTGGATCCTTTGCAGCCATGTTGTGCTGGGCCGCCTGCTATAAAGCCTGCTGCAGAAAGGGCTGACTGGTTGTCTTGTTCAGGCTCGATTGATTTTTTTTTTTTACTTTTTTTTCCCTGCCAGTCCTAACAGTCTGCCGGTGGCTGCTCCCAGGCCTGGTGTGAATAAAACCACAAGCAGAATGAAAGGGACTTGTTCTTTCCCTTCAAGAGTTGGGGAAAGCAAAAAAAAATCCCTTGTCATGCCACGAGGATGGCTCGTGCCCTGTCTTCTTCCACTTGTGCCTCAAGCTGGGGCTGGGGGTTCGACAAACCGGGCAACTGTGTAGTCCACGGGGTTTCTTAAAGCACAGAAACAGCTTAAAACAGGGTCTTCTCTGCTTGCATCCCTGGGAGGAAGATCTCTTTGCTTCGTGCATGGACAGCAAACGTGTGTCGCTTCCACGATGAGCACCGGGGAGTTTCTTTTTGGATGGTCACAAGCAAAATAATTTCCCAGGTAGGTGCTGTGACTGGAGGGAAGGAGTGAAATGTTCCCACCTGGCCAGTGGATGAGGCCCTTGCATGTTGCTGCTGCAGCTGCTAATCTAATTTCTCTTTCGCTGCCCCCCTCCATCTCCCCTCTAAACCTGGCTGCCATCTCCGTGTGGATGGGTGATAGCCAAGCCTGGGGCAGCGCGGTCAGGTCTCGGGAGCCGCTCGTGCGGGCTATGAGCTGAGTGACCACATGCATTACTGGAGGTGATCAAGAGGAGGGTGGGCAGGCACTGGTTGGGGAGGATCTAGGTGCAGCGATGCCTGTGCTTGGCTATGGGCATTTCCCAGGCGTCTGGGTGGTGATGGTTGTCTCCCCTCCCTTCCTGCTACACGTCCGCGGGGATTGAAGGGTCCTTCGGAGCTGGGCATTGGGGACTGGGCTAGTTTGGCTAGGGCTGATCTTGCCTCAGGCAGGGCGTTGGACTAGACGCGAGCTCTCTTCCAGCCTCACTTTTCTCTACGCCTCCCTGACCTTGTCCTTACAACACACAGGTGCAGTGGATCAGCACTGCGCCAGAGCTGGGCAGGTCACGCAGATGCAGAATCCAGCCCCAGCCCTTCTTGCTGCGTCGTCTCTGCCGGGCTAGCAGCCGCGTCCTTCTTTTTTTCTTTCTCTGGAGTCTGTGGCTCTGAGGAACGGGCTGTTTGTACACAGCCCGTTAGCAAAGTAGAAAGGCTCTGCCACGGCCCAGGGGCAGAATTGTGAATATGCCTGTAATGTCCGGAGCTGATTTCTAGCTCCATCCATCAGTACAATCAAGGTATGGGCCAAAGTCCTATTGGAAGGCAGCCCAGGGGCCAGGGTTGTCAGCTGGGTATTCATGCATCTGGTGGGCCACAGGAGAGAGCAAGTCCTTTCACATTGCTACTCTGTCCCTTAGTGGTGGCCTCTTCCAAACCACAAACAGGCCCTTGGGGTATTTGCAAGGGGCAGGTACCTTGCGAGCACATAGGCTGGGTTCCCTTGGGGGCAACCTGGGGGCTGAGGCTCAGCCGCGTACCTGGAAGGGGATGCAGAGTAATCCCCATGGCTGTCGGCTGCAGCGCCCAGTCGAGAACCGCGGCGCTCCTGAAATGCATCTGAATTCCTCCCCTGTTGCACCCCAGCTGCTTTTGAGAGGTCTTTCCTTGGGCATGGCTAGGGGAGTCCTGCCTGGTGTAGTGGGAGATACGGATTTGAGAGCCAGGACGCCAGCATTTCTGTCCTTCTAGTGCTGGGGTTGAAGGGAGGAAGAGGGTGGTCTAGTAGCTGTGAGAAAGGTCGGGACTCCTGGGTTCCTCACTCAAAGGGCATGCCTAGTGCCACAGGGCAGTGCCATGTGCTGGGTGGGCCGTGGCAGTGGGGCTTGGGGACTCCTGGGTCCTTTCTGGACCTTTGACCATCCTATCCTCTGCAAGATCAAAGCTGCTCGGGGCCCAATCTCTCCATGTCCTAACCATGGCCCGGGAGCTTTTCATCTTCAAAGGGTTTTGCCAACCTGAACTAATCACCTCTTGTGCAGCTGCCAGGGAGGGAACGGAGCATCGCAACGGCTCTGCTATGAATAGCTCGCTTCAGAGCCCGTCCTGCCATGGACGTGTGTGCAGAGCTCCCCTGGATCACAGCCCCCCAGGGAGGGCTTCCTTGTGCTTCCAACCCTGAAAGCTTCTGGGGTGCAGGTCGTGCCCTTGCGGGGGGTGCTTGTGCCAGGGGTCTGCTCCCCAGCCTGTTGCAATGGAAAGAGCCCTGCAGAGCGCTGGGACTGGGGACAGCGAGCGCTGGTGTTTCCACGGTGGCCGCAGCCCCTAGGAAGGAGAATCAGCTCTGTTGTAACATCCTTGTTACGGATGGGAACAGGCCCTCGAGTCAAGCCCGTCCCCTGCCAAAGACGAGATCCAGCCCCCAGACAGAGCCAAGCCTGTTGATTTTGGCCGGGTCTCATACGAGCAGCGGGGAGCTGCTTTTTCCAGCCGTTGTTGCTGAAAAACGCAGGCCCCTTCTGCCTGCTCCATGCTGCTATCACAGCCTGGCCCCTGCCAATGCCCAAGTCTCCTGCTCGCCCCTCAGCCGGTGACTTCCCTTCTCGCCCTGGCTGGACAAGTGCAAGGCTGACCCAGCGAGATGGGACCTTCAGGCTGGGAGTGGGGACTGGCCGGTTCCTTGCGTCTCGTCCAGCAGTGCAGGGGACCACTCGCTCCAGGTGATGGGAGCACCTGCAAAGGGAAGGAATTGGAGTGGCTCCCCCAGGACGGTGCCCAGTGCGTAGCCAGCCTCTCCCAGCCAGGCTGGCACCTCCAGCTGGAGGGGACAGACAGCAGCAGCAATGATGGCTAAGCTTTTAGCTCTTTGGTGTCCCTCGGGAGCTTGCACAGAAGCAGGACACACGGCTCCTACCCTGGCCCAGCCTCTGGTTGGACCCTCCAGTGAAGGAGACGTGGCTGCTTCAAATTCATCCAAGCTGCTGGTGCCCCCGGAAGTCCCAAGGTGGCTGGGCAATTACAGCTATTTATAGCGTGCCAGTGGCATGCTGCTGCCTAGCACTCTGCTGTGAAATAAAAGACTTTCTGTGCTGGCCCGGCCGAGAACGCACTCTTCCTGCTCTCCAGGACTGGGGGCTGAAAGGCCTTCAGTCTGCAGGGAGGAAGGTGGAAGAAGAGGCCTTGTACAGCACCAGCCACCCCCTCTGCTGCTGTCATGCTGTCTGTCCCTCTGCACCCCTCGGGGTCTCCAGGGCAAGGCTGGAGAGACACAAACATCCCCTGGAAGCACAATAACCAGCTGCATCCTTTGCCCCTCATCTCTCTCTGCTAAAGTTTGCAGCCAACTTCTACTCCCAGCAGGAAGTCCCCTGGCTTACTCTTATGGGACCAAGAGATCCTGGCTGTGAGCTGGCCACAGCAGGAGAGGGTCCCTGCCACCTGGCTGGCAGCGGGAGGGATAGGAAGGTGCGTTATCCCCATGTGAAGGCTGCAGGTACGCAGGAGGAGCATTCAACTCAACACAGATTTGGTTTCCAAAGGCAGCCGCTGGGACCTAACTTAGATGCCAATGAGCTGAGCTGGAAACCGGCTCTAGGGTTATTATATGTTTCCACGAGCATTAGAGCTGCTTGGCTCTTTTTTTTATAACCGGGTGGCCATTTTTATCGGGTGATAATTACCTTGGCGGCTCTACATTTCTTGCGCGATTCACCAGTCCGTTGCGTTATACATGTAACGTGTAGCAGGGGCCAAACAGCAGCATCTGAGGATCCAGTTTCAATGCTCCTTCCTCCAGGGGGAGTGTTGGGGCTTTTGATGCATTTGACTTGTTCGGCTGCATGCAAGTAGAGGGGACCAGGTGCTGGTCTTTGGAAAGGGCTCCAGGCCTTCCCGTGTCCGCACCCCTAGAAGCCCGGCTTCCAGCTGTGAACCCACGCGTGGTCCTGCCTGCAGTCACCTGCACAAACTTTGGGAGCCAGGGAGTGTAGCTGCCTTTGAGCTGCATCAGGAGCCCTGCCACGCATGTGGTGCCAGGGGGCCCTGTGCAGACAGCAGAGCTGGAGGGGGCCACCACTGCAGCAGGGGTGGCGGCTCCAGGACCCACGGTTCAAATTCAGGACAAACGTCCCCAAGTTCAGGATCATCCCAGAACATCCGACAGCCGGTCCCAGGGCTCCCGGCCTTTGCTGACTGCGGACGGGCCCTGGGCTTGTGGCTCTCTGTCACGTTATTGGGTCTGCTTGGGCCTGGTCCTCTCTCAATCTTCTTCCCCCCCCCCCCAAAAAAACCCAGCTTTTTCTGCACTCTGAGAATCACAGATTAAGGTTAGCAGGGACCTCAGGAGATCCCATCTAGTCCAACGATGACCTCAAAGCAGGACCAGCCCCAACTACATCATCCCAGCCAAGGCTTTGTCTAGTCGGGGCTTAAAAACCTCCAAGGACGGAGTCTCCACCACCTCTCTGGGTAACCTGCCCCAGTGCTTCACCACCCTCCTGGTGGGAAGTTTTCCTAATATCCGACTTCAACTTCCCTTGCTGCAGCTTGAGCCCATTGCTCCTTGTCCTGCCATCTGCCCCCACGGAGACCAGCCCAGCTCCATCCTCTTTGCAGCCCCCCTGCAGGGAGGTGAAGGCTGCTATTCAATCCCCCTCGGTCTTCTCTTCTCCGGACTGAATCAACCCAGGTCCCTCAGCCTCTCCTCACAAATCACTTGCCCCCGGCTCCAGCAGGAAATGTCCAGGGCGGGTGTTGGAAATGTCCATAGGCCTGGAGATGGTGCCGATATCTGGGATAATTTGGTAGAAGGAATTCCAGTTCCTGCCTGGCCGGAGAGGAGACAGCCTGGGAGGAGAACACACATCACCCTCTTTCCCATCACTTTTGCTCGGGGTGGGGGGGGGGTCTGCTCTCCTCAGCAGCACCTGCCACCAGCATCTCTCCTGGTCCCCCCAGGTGCCACCTGGAGCAACACCCACCTGCTAGAGGCCCACAGGTGCAGGGCAGGGAAGGGTCCGAGTGGATGGAGCACAGCTGACAGCCTTGGTGACTTGTCCTAGCTGCATTTTCCCTGCTGCCAAAGCCTCCCGGTGCCCTGCTTGGCCTGATGCAGCTCTGAGTCAGATGGGTCTCAGTTAGCCGGGGCTGGCCATGCTGAGCTTTGGGACGGGCACCGAGCCTCGCCCAGGACACAGGAGCTGCTGTGCAGAGGGAGCTGTGCTCAGCCTTGCTGACCGCTCTCCCAGCTGGACGGGGCAGCAGACAGCATCTTCAGGAGACGTGGTGTCACTCATCACAGCTCTGCAGCTCCTCGACCAGGTGCCGCTGGCCAGCCTGGCGGTGCCACAGCTGAGAGTGCAACAAAGTCCAAGGGCTCCTGGGATGCACCAAGGGGCTTCCCCTTTGCTAGGACCTGTTGCTATTCCCCTCCTTGCTCCAACCAAAACCCAGCAGGGCTGTGGGAGGCCAGGGGTCCAGCTGTGAGCCAGAGAGCACATCCAACCTCCTCCCCAGAGCATCTTGGGGGCATGACATGCGGCACTGACCCCCAGGACACATGCAGGCGGTGCTGAGCCAAGCAGGAGCTGCAAATCCTGACAGCAACACACGCACCAATGACTTGAAGTTGCAGCAAAGCAGGTTTAGGTTGGATGTCAGGAAAAACCTCCATGGTGTCAGGGCAGGGAGGCAGTGGGAGAGAAGCCCGGGGAAGTGGGAGCCTCTCCATCACTGGAGGTGTTCAAGGAGAGGTTGGGCAGCAACTGGGCTGCACCAATGCTCCTGCTGGAACCAACCCAGCAGGGTCCTGCCCCTCCGCTCGGGCTCAGACCGACGCTGCACTGGGGGCAGGAAGGGTGCCCTATCTGGTGGTGTGTCTGGGATGACAGCAGTTTTACAAAGTTTAGATGATGGATGGGTCTGGGCTGGTTTGCACAGGGCTGATCCTGTCTCAGGAAGGGGTTGGACCGGATGCGACCTCTGCCGGTCTCTTCCAGCCTGACTTCTCCATGATCGCAGGACACAGGAGACCCCGAGGAGCCAGGGGGAACAGCGCAGCAGCTGCCTGCACCATTTATTGGAGCCGTGGCCCACTGAGAGCACAACCAGCAGGCACAGAGCAGGCCCAGGTCCCAACCCTCCCGTGGAAAGCCGCCTCCCTGGGCAGTGAAAGTCACGTCCACGAAGGAGCAGGGCTAGGAGGGTGACACCTGCCCCGACCTGGCATGCTCCGGGCAGCCTCCGTGGTGCTGCGCTGCAGGCCCTAGTTCTTGCCCAGCTCGCGGGCCCGAATGGTGCCAGCCTCCACGGCGTTCATGACAGCAGCCCGCAGCCCGCCCTTCTCCAGCTCGTGCAGGGCGTGGATGGTGGTGCCGCCGGGTGTGCACACATCCGCCCGCAGCTTGGCCGGGTGCTCCCCTGTCTCCAGCATCATCTTGGCTGCTCCCTGCAGGCAGAGGCAAGGTGTGGGGGGGGTGCATCTCACAGCACCCCTGCTCCTGCTGGAGCCCATGCTACGGCCACACGCTCCCTCCTCTCGCACTTCCGTGCTGTCCACCCAGCTCAAGGAACCCACTGCATGCACGAGGTAGGTGCCCGACCCCTGCTCACGATGCCTCCAAGAGCCTGGCCAGGGGGGATCGGACCAGGCTGGGACTGGTGACCTGGTGCTGTGCCTAACACTAAGCTGCACTCCAGCTCCTCTGCTCGCACGGCTTCGATCTTTCCAACAACGCCAGTGCCCAGCATGATAGAGATGCTTCCTCAGCCATGACAAGGCATCTGCCTGGCTTCCCCCAGCTCAGCCCTCAATGCATCATGCAGACTCCAGCGGCTGGAGCCAAGTGGTCTCCAGCTGCTTGGATCCTAAGGGGACGCCAGCCCGGCTGGGAGTGCCACAGCCCCTTGGAGAGGAGTCCCCAGGAGGGGAGAGGGAGCCACAGGGAAGCAGGAGGTAGGGACACAACCAAGGACTTTCCCCCCAGAACCAGACCTGCAGCAGAGGGAGGCTTGGGGCTGGAGGAGCAGGGGTTGGGGACAGAGCGCCCCGGGAAGGGCAGGACGGGGAGCTCCTGGCAGGCAAGCCAGGTGTGTGCTCACCAGCAGGGTCTGGGCAGCGATCCGGCTGGCCAGGGGCCCGGACATGCCCATCTTCACTGCTCCCTCCGCCAGGGCTTCAGCAAACATGTAGACCTGGTGGGGGGAGAACAGCCCACCATTAGCCCACGACCGTGAACCTGCTGCTTCTGGAGGACGGAACCTGGCAGAGCCACGTGCTCCACCCTGCACGGGCGGCCCCGGTCCCGCTGGATCACAGCTGGATCCTGCCATGATCATTCGTGGGTCATGCCCACAACGCAAAGCGCCTGGCGGAGGTCAAGGCCAGAGTGCTCAGCCTGGCAAGGCAAGAGGTAGCGGGGGGCCTTCTGGGGAAATCTCTCTGACCTGCCCCAGTTCAGGGGCCCGGACAGACGAGATGTTTACACCAGTGTAATCTGCCTCGGCTTGGGTGTGAAGCAGAGGAGACGACGAGACCTGCCGGCTGGGCTAAACGCCGGGGCCCGTGTCAGATAGTTACCCCTAGGGGAGCAAGGGGCATGACGACACGGGTGCAGGCTGTCCTGGGATAGGCGCCGTCTGTCCAGCTTACCCCGGGGCAGCCATGTGCTCCTTTGGCAAGGGACACCCAGGCCCCAACCCACCCTAGGGGGTGCTCCCCAGAGCAGAGCACAGCTGGGCCCCGTGCAAGGGTCAGGGAGCCCCAAACGCCCGGACCGAAGCCGCAGAGCAACACTCGGGCAGTCTGGCCGCAGCACAGGCGCCCAGGCAGGCCCGCGGGGACTCACGTAGGCCACCCCGCTGCCGCTGAGCCCGGTGTGGATGTCGATGTAGGACTCGGGCACCTCCTCGCACAGCCCGCAGGCCGCCAGCAGGCCCTGCAGCACGGCGGCTTCACGCTCCCCCGCGCAGCGCCCCCGGGCGAACACCACCGCCCCCGCCTGCACCACGCACGGCAGGTTGGGCATGAACCGCAGCACCTTGGTCCCGGGCGGCAGCATCTGCAGGAAGAGACAGAGGTGGGGCCAGGCCGGGGCCGCCCCCGGGG